ATGCTGCTATGAGAGCAGTGCCGTAGTTCCCCACTGAAGCTACAGCATTGATATGGATGCCCTCGTGCTTGATTAATCGTTCCACGCCACTGACCGGCCCACGAGCGCAGGCAGCAATGAGGGCAGTGCCATATGGGCCCTCCCGCGCTCGCTGATTAACATCAGCGTGTTTTTCCAAAAGGAAGTCCGCAACTTCCGAACCGATTTCGTCGTACTGCATGAATGCTGCTATCAATGGGGTTCCCGGACCCTTTCCACTTGTCGCTTCAAAGTTAACATCGGCACCGTCTAGTACTAGGAACCTAATGAGTCTAGGCTGATAGTGCGTGTTTCTTCTCATAACAATATCCTTTGATTCTAGGCTCCAAGATCCTGACTGGGGAGCAACTAGCAAAGGGCTACGATCCAAGAGGGACACGTCTACGTAATCGTATTGCAGCGGCCGGCTCAAGTCGTAGAGGTCGAATAATTTTTCTATCAGTATGGTTTGCTCTGGATACCAGTAGGTCGATTGACAGAGGCAGATGAGTGTTGCTCTTGCAACCTCTTCGTAGCACTTCGACAATGACTTTTGAGGATTCAGGAAGAAAGCTATCATCTCATCGGAAATGAATCTTGTTGGCTGCGAAAAAAAACCCAAGGCCTTAACGAGATTGATGAAGGTGTCTCTGAGAGGTGGAATATCCTGAACATCGATCGAGGATTCCATACTGTCGAGTCCTTGATGGCCCTCTGGCTCGATATGTTGGCTCATTTCTAGAAGAGCCCGTGATCGAGACCTAAGATGAAACGTCCAAGGGGCAAGCTCGATAATGAATATGATGATCAACCAGAGGAACCAGAAGACAGAGTCAGATTCCTTGAATTTTGGGAAATCCCGAAGGCTTGTTTGCTGTTGTTCGACTGAAGGTACATGGCGACTCTGCAATTCTTCATGTGTTGAATCTGAACTATCATTGGCATCGCAATCATCATTGTTTCGAATCTCCAGGTCCCAGACTATGGGATCAAGCTCCAGCGACATCCAGTCGTCCGGATTGGCGGATGTGGCCAAGGTCTCCTTGACTTTGATGAAGCATCCAGTTACAAAGGTCGTAAGAAGTTGACGAGCATCTTCACTCTCATACTTATAAGAATCTAATCGACTTCTACTTTCTTTTCGACGAATACGAGAAGAAATACTACTTCCTGCTCTGTATCTCTGAATATGTTCCGTAGGAGGCTCAAGCCAAGCAGAAGGAGAGAAGATGTATGATGCTGCTTGTCGCTCTATATCTTCTTTGACAGGATCTGAGAAGTATTTTTGCATTACCCGGTTTGCCAGATGGACGAGCCAACGACGACAGCCAGGGGTCGGTGGCTTTGGGCCTAGAAACATCTGAAGTAGCAAGTTGACATCCTTCCTGTCTTTGTATGGTCTAATATAGAGCCACCAACTTTCACAAGCATCCTTGTAGAACTCGACTAGCTCCGGAAATGGTACCTTGGTCTGCGGGTCGACAGGCACATTTTCCGGGTCATAATATAGTAGTGCTTTGAGGAGGAATAAAGGGACGAAGTGGCTGACTTGTTCGTTTTCGTGCCGCTCAAAATGCTCCTGAACGGATAAATGAGAAAAACGAACATATTCATCTTCCGTAACGAGGAGAAATTGAGATGCTTTAAGTAGGTCGTCTGCATCTACCAATGCTGTTTGAAAGTCGCCGGTCCGCTCAGGCTTTTGACTTGCTGCTGCAACGAGCAGTGTGCTGAGACTCGATCCCCCATGAGTTTGAAGCCATGCGCAAGCTCTGATAACGTACGGTCCCCAAGCTGGGTCTGACTTGATCGTCTCAAATGTGTTTTCGTATGCTTGTTCGAGGTCCTTGGGCGGTCTTGCCAGTGCATCTTCAATGTCATCGGCAGTGGGTAGTCGCAAAATATATTCAAGATGTACAGCTGCCCATTGAAACCTGATACGCAAGTGGTCCATATTAGCAATTTCTTTCAACTACTTGACAATTGAAGCATGAGATAAATCCCTGTACTTACATTGTTTGGCTCTTTTTCGAAAAAGTAGTCTTAATTTTTGCTTGTAAATCTAGAGGAACCTTGAGAATACCTTCTCTGTCAAGACGGTCTTCGACAAACCGATCGATGTCACCCTTGTTGTCATCAACAGATATTCTGAAGTGCTGCTCATGATCTAATTGCTTAGTGATTTCAGGTAGCTCGCGGCTTGAAAGGACGACTTTAACCTTTGAGCTCGACCTCCCCGCTTGTGTAACTTTCTTGATGACAGAGAGTAAGTCCTCGCGAGCGCTTGGGTCGCATTCGTCTAAGGCGTCGAGCACCAGTAACACATCATCGTGGCAATCGATAGCGTCACGAAGCATTGATCCACAGTCATTGACATCCAATTCTTGTGAGGCAGCGTCATCAGGGCTTTTCCGTTCGAAAATTTCCACAACCTTGGCTGGCAGCACGTCGCATCGATGTAATAACTGTTTGGTGAGACTGCACAAAATATTCGGGGAGTTCCTCCTACTAACGTCATCCCTACGACAGTAGAAGAATGCCACAGATTTATTCTTGTATGCGTGGTTTATAACGTCATCGTCGTCACAAACTCGAATATCAGTGTGGTCCACGATTTTGGTGATCAATTTCGTCTTTCCGGCTCCCGCTAACCTTTTGCTAAGCTTCGCTGTATGTTATCAGAAGTTTGAATGGAACTTACGGATACCATGAATCCAGAGAATATTCTCCGACCTCGACTCATCCCAGCCTTGATATTCGTATTTTTCGAAGACCCAGTCTCCTGTGTCGGGAGTGCGATTTGCTTTAGCAAACTTGTGGTGATCGATATGCGGAAATTTGGATAGCCATCGAAGGACTGCTAAGCGTTCCTTTTTCTTCTGCTTGTCGATAATGGCCAGGCGGTTCCGCTCTTGTTCACTCAGTATTTCCGTTTGCCCCCGAAGCAATGCGTCAATACCCGTCCCAATGCCATCTCTTAGTGTCCATAACTGCGCCTGAAGAGTTTTCTGGGATTCAAGCAAAGTGTGTAGATCACCCTGAGCACCCAATCTGAAGCGAGTTGCAACCTCTTGTTGCAAGTCACACTGAATCTGAGTGGTATCTTTATCAAAATCCGCTATGCGATCGGAGCTCCAGACGGCAATCCATGTGCGATGAGCTACACCTTTGGAGTAGTGGTCAAAGGCAGCAATAAGGAACCTCAATGTTCGCTCATATAGATCAACTAGAAAGTCCTCAAGTGTTGACATGTTGTCTCTGTCTTCGGAGTTCCAAGCGTTATTAAGTTGTCGTTCGTAAACATAGCCTCGGCTCATGATGATAATGACATTGCTGAGACCCTCAACAACCGATCGTGCAACCTTCTCTTTTTCGACGGGTATCTAAAATATAGCCTGGGTTCAGCTTAAGCTCAACAAATGCTTAATGAAGACAAATCGAAAACAAGATCACGTACTTGTATAAGCGCCTGAGCGATGGACCAACCTAGACTTGCCATCGGCTGAGCACTTGTAGCAGCTGTGCCAGGATCTTTGAGTTTACTCAGCGCCTCAATCGCCTTGTCCCACAGACTATGTAAAGAGAGCTTTTTCTCTCCGAACGAAACTTTCCATTGCGCATCTTCGTATTCCTTCTTGCGATTTTCGCAGGATTTGCGGAGACGGTCGGGCCAGAACACCTGAGTTGGCTCCGGCTCCGTTTCCGCGATGGCGGCATCGCCTTGAATATTTCGAGGCTGTGTTGGATTGAGTATGCTTTGAAGCCTCGATTCTGTTTTGTCCGGTAATCGTCTTCGGGCTTTCGACCAGTAATCGTCCCTTACAGCGTCTTCGTCCATGACTAGCCGCTTATCTCTGCTACTAATTGTTTTGCAATGAGATCATATTGCGAGATTTGATCGGGCAAGAAAACTTGTATTTATAGCCGCAGAGCTGATCTAGCAGCTTCAGCTTTGCACATGGTAGACAAGAGGCTCCAGAGGTTGGGATCAAGCGCCGCCGTGGTGATCAGCCAATCGCAATGGACTTGAGGCAGACCTGGCTGCAGCTGCAAGCCACATTCCAATCGCCCCCGTGTTTCTTTTCGCACCTGGAAAGAGTCTGTCTATTGAAGTTGATCTGGGAAAAAAGTGACGATTCTTGATACAAGAGTTCGTGACTGCTATGCAGATGATGTGAAACGGGAGAATTATTGATTTTGACAAAATTACTCCATTGACGATAGAACATTACTTGACACAACCTGAGAAAACATGGCTAGTGGACTGACTGGCTGAAGTGACACGTCAGGACTTAACGTTATGGATTTAATTCATGAGATGTTTGTATACTATTCTATATTAACCAAATGATTGGTTGAATTCATGTCATATTTGTTCAGATAAAGTTATTGGCATGGCTTGAAGAGCCCCTGTTAACCTTAAATATCGAGGTGCTTGATACAGTGTACGTAGACTAACCAACAATTTTCTTCTTAGAAGAGATGATGAATACTCGCTAACACCTTTTTCTACACAGATAGATATATGTTGACTACGTAGGTAAATACCAGGGTAATTATCTGTAGTAAACGTATTCAAACGACTTTTAGCTAGGCTAGAGGCGTGTTGCTCGCTCGACATTAAGCGCGACCTGGACACTATAGAGAACTTATCGGAGGGAACAATACGTCACTGATAAGCCTTATCGTGAAATGCGATTTGGAATGAAGGGGAAAATGTTGAGATCCAATTTGGCAGGTCGTCAATTCCAACCACATCAATGTCAAACCGCTCTTCAACCGAACAAAATATCGTTCCAACTTCGATCGAAAGTCAACACTTTGAAGAGCGTTATACTCAACGACCATTGAATACATAGGATATTCGAAGGTCTAAACACCAAGATACTGTCGCGTGTTCGGACGACCCTATCTCGATAGCTTACGCGATCCGAAAGCATCCCCTGGCTGACAAGCGCTTGCAGCAACTGTCATACACTTGGATGGATGTCTGCCAAGGGAGATCGCCTCAAGGATGAGGTACACTTGCCGCAGCGTTCTTCCACAGGCAATATGCTAACGTGCGCATTAGGGGACCCGACTTCAGGTCGTCACATCGGGAGCCACAGCTGGTCTCATCTCTCGGTAAGTCTTGCTGCGATATGACACTTCACCTCACCGCTGGCCGTGGCAACTGACTAGTCATGGGCAGCTTCATCGTAGCTCCCCTCGATGTCGTCAAGATCCGCCTCCAATTGCAGACGCACTCTCTCTCCGATCCTTTAACGCATCGAGACGTTCGCGGCGGACCGATTTACAAGGGCACTTTGCCTACGATTAAACAAATACTCGCCAATGAAGGGCTCACGGGGCTGTGGAAGGGCAATGTGCCCGCCGAGCTGATGTACATTTGCTACAGCGCCATACAGTTCTCAGCCTACCGCAGCATGGCACAGCTACTGCAGCGCACTTTCGGAGAGGGGCGAATACCGCAATCGGCAGAATCCTTCATCTCCGGCGCGGCAGCTGGCGCAGCGGCCACGGCGACTACGTATCCCTTGGACTTGCTGAGGACACGGTTTGCTGCGCAGGGCAATGATCGCGTCTATACGTCACTGCGGGCGGCGATTGTGAGCATAAGTAAAGACGAGGGGTTCCGGGGTTTCTTTAGAGGCCTTGGCCCGGGATTGGGGCAGATCGTACCCTTCATGGGCATCTTCTTCTCTGTGTATGAGATGCTTCGGCTCCCTTTGGGTAGGCTGGACCTGCCGTTTGGAGGAGGGGACGCCGCTGCGGGCGTGATGGCTAGCATAACTGCAAAAACAGCTGTATTCCCACTCGATCTTGTGCGCAAGAGGATACAGGTGCAGGGGCCAACAAGGAACCGCTATGTTCACAAGAACATTCCGGAATATAACATGGGTGCTGTCAAGACTCTAACGACGATTCTCAAGACCGAGGGAGCTAGAGGCTTGTATAGAGGTCTGACCGTCAGTCTGATTAAGGCTGCACCAGCTAGTGCCATTACGGTCTGGACATACGAGAGGATGCTGAACCTTCTCATTAGTATGGATGACAAAAAGGAAAGGAACAGCATCTGATTGACTAGACAATAGACTCTAATTAGACTCGCCGAAGCGGCTGCTCCGAGACAACTCAAGTTCAAGAGAGTCCTTCACTCGCCTTGAGTCTAGACGGGGCTCTTCACAATACTCTTCAACTAGGTTAGAAACTCAGTATCCAGTATCATCATCGAATACCGTTATTGTCTGGTCGTAATACAAAGTAAATTTGTCTATACCTCATGCCTTATGGTACAATCCCAATACATCCATCGTGATATTCGATGAAAATTTATTTTCCTTTCTTCACCCAGCCCTCAACAGCCTCCCGCGTCTCGCCAACCTTGTCACCCACATATTGCTTGCCGACCTCAGTATGTACCTTGGCAAAGCTCCAGCCCTTCTCCACGCTCTCTCGGATGCTCTTGTGGGTATCTGCCACGACAGGGAATCGCTGCTCGTACGTCCATGCCAGGTCGGACACGTTGCGCATGGTGATGGGGATCACAGCCCAGCCCGCGCCAACACCAAATGCCAGTGGCACGGTGGCTCGGAAGAGAATGTTGCTCCGCCGCGTGACGATACTGCCCGCCATGGCCGCGACCAGCACGTAGATCATTCCCGGCATCAGCTTCTCGCCAGACTCGCGGGGCGGCGCCAGTGATGCGACGGTATCGGTGAACGACTTCTCGAGGTGGAACGCTTTATCCATCGTGTTGTTAACGGCATCCTCAGCCGCGCACGCCTGCCGGTACAGGAAGAGCCGCGCCTTGCGAATCTGCACAGCCAGTCTGTCGGTAGGGGTCGGCCCACGAGACACCTTGCGCTCTTCGCTGGGCGCTGAGAGCTCTGCAGGTTTTGATGTCGCGGGTGGGAGAGTGGCTGTTGAGGGGACGGCTTCGAAGTCGTCGTAGATAGGCTTCTTGCTCTGTAAAAAATAGTCAGCAACGGGCTCAATTGACAAGATGTCCCGTGCACTTCACTGGATTGCATCTTACCTGTGCATATGACTCTGGGGCTTCGGCATGTGCTACTCGTGGAGACAGGATCACGCCTCCGACGAGCAAGGACGCTGCCAACGGCACTGCGCGCTGAGCGATTTATTAGCTATCATTGAAGCATCATTTGACTCTTCCAGGCCAATCTTACCCGTTGCAGCAGCACTCTCGCAGCCATGGTCCGCTCAATTGGGTTGTTTGGAGGGGAGATTTTGCGCCGGGCAGGAATCTGGGAAGGTTCTTGGATGAGGTCTTGATACCACCTGCAGCCAACGCCGCGGCTATTTCCGGAGCTCGGGGCGTTTTTTCCCTGCTCTGAATTTTTTGGGGCGGGCGTCATCTGGCTTCCCGCACGCCGCCGCCGAGGCGCACCAAGACAGCCGGCTAGCTGGATCTTAGCCTTCCAGACGGAGACCCAGATTAAAGCGCCGGCTACGGCCTTCAAACCCCAAGAGTCTCGTGCTCTACAACTACGTCTCCCGTTCTCCTTCCTTTACATGTGTTCTTCTCCAGTGGCATACCGCACATGAGTTGCCATGTCATCGAAGAGAAGACAATTGAAGCATGATCAAATCCATCCAGCGCCATCCACGGGTCTCGTCGCAATGCCTCCTCCGCCGCCCAGCCATACATACCCACCCATCGAGGCGATGGCTCTCCGTCGCAACCGGTGCGACTCATAGTGATCTACGCGCGGTGCCGGCCTCTCATACCTCTCCTGGAGCACAGCAGGACGATGCCATTCTACGCCAGATATTCGACTCTCCATCCGCTTGGAATGATTTCTCCAAGACGTCGCGCGGCGCACTGCTTCGAGGGCTTCATGTTGGCCTATTCAGGAACGCCTACCTTACCGGTCCGGGCGGGTTCCCGGCCTTCGCTCGAGTCACTCTACATCGAGCGCAGAGGATAGTGGATAAGGTGCTCAGTGCGAGCTCTTTAGCAGAATATAAGGATATTGTAAAGGACCTGGACCGTCTGAGTGACCTCCTGTGTCGCGTGATAGACTTGTCCGACTTCGTGCGAGTCACCCATCCCGACCCGAGGATCCAGAATGCAGCGTCCGAAGCTTGGTCGATTGTCTACCAGTACATGAACCAATTGAATACGACTACGGGTCTAAATGAACAGCTGGGCAAGGCAATGGATACTCCTGAGGTCACGGCCTCGTGGTCCGAGGAGGAGATGACAGTGGCGCAAATGCTCAAACTTGATTTCATGAAATCGGCTGTCAACCTACCACAGAGGTCGCGGGATCGTTTTGTCGAGTTATCGCAACAGATTAGCGAGGTGGGCTCTAGGTTTGTGGATGAGATGGCACCGGAGCAGTCCATGATTGTCTTGCCCTCGAGCAAGTTTCAAGGAATGAACCCAGTGATTGCGCGACGGCTGACCCGGAAGGGCTCGATTTATCTTCATAGCATGAGTTCAGAAGCCGCCGTTGCACTCCGGAGCGTCTTCGATGAAGATACCCGGAAATCGATCTACTACGCCTCACGCACAGCATCGAGCAGATCAGTACGACATCTTGAGACGTTGCTCAGGTTACGCGCCGACCTTGCCGAACTGGCGGGATTCGAGAGTTATGGACACATGACTCTTCGAGACAGGATGATGGCGAAGTCGCCAGAGGCCGTCGAGAAATTTCTTCAGGGACTCGTCAAGAAGAATGCCCCTATTGTGCGGCAAGAGATGGATGACCTGGCAAGCCAGAAACGACACTATCAGCACAGCTCCGCAGCTGTCATAAATGCATGGGATAAGGATTACTATATGAGCATGATTCGAGACTCGATGAGGTCGAGGCAGCGGCACGATGACTTCCTGTCAGCATATTTCTCGCTCGGGACGATAATGCAAGGTCTGTCGAGGTTGTTCACTCGGCTATATGGCATACGACTCGTGCCCAAGGAGACCGCGCCAGGTGAGACGTGGCATTCTGACGTAAGGAGACTCGATGTGATCTCAGATACGGACGGTCATGTCGCAGTTCTGTACTGCGACCTCTTTTATCGAGAAGACAAATCGCCGAACCCAGCGCACTTCACAGTTAGGTGCTCCCGAGAGATATCAGAAGGAGAGATTGCCGAGGCAGCCAATGCAATGCAGGAGTCAGGGGACATGCCTAACTTCGCTTCGCCCGAAGATGCGGCGAACGATGGAATGTCACTCTCTCGAAGCAGCGGTGTGCTGAAGCAATTACCAACCATTGCCCTCGTCTGCGACTTCCCGCAAAGCGAGACCGCGGGCGTCAAGCCTGCTTTCCTCACATACTTCCAGATGGAAACGCTGTTCCATGAAATGGGCCATGCAATTCATTCCATCCTGGCACGGACATCCCTCCAGAACGTGGCAGGAACCAGATGCGCCACTGATCTAGCAGAGCTTCCATCAACCCTAATGGAACATTTTGCCGCTGATCCCACTGTGCTGAGCCTGTTTGCTCGCCATTATGAGACCGATGAACCCCTAGACTATGAGGCTGTCGCCGAGAGATTAAAGCAGTCGAGGAGGTTCGAGGGATCAGACACAGAAAACCAGATCATCCTAGCTATGCTTGATCAGAAATATCATTCGGCGTCAGCAGCGGACCCATCCTTCAACTCTACAGACGTGTTCCGCAATCTACAACTGCAGTTCGGGAATATCCCCGCTGACCCACCAGGGACAAGGTGGCAAGGCTTCTTTGGGCATTTGTTCGGCTATGGTAGCACATACTACAGCTATCTTTTTGACCGGGTGCTCGCCGAGCGGGTATGGCGAGTGGTTTTCTCGTCAGGGCAACAAGAAGGTGCCATAAATAGAGAGAATGGGGAGCAGTTGAAAGAGAACCTGCTCAAGTGGGGAGGCAGTCGGGATCCCTGGAGATGCCTGGCGGCCGCGCTGAAGGATGATAGGGTAGCGGACGGGGATGAAAAAGCGATGGCCCTGGTAGGAAGCTGGGGCATGAGCAGGAACGCCTAGACAGGCCTAAATGAACAAAATAACTTCGGGGACATGAGCACTCCATGTACACTACATATCAAAAAGCGATCGCAGCTCACGCCAAGGGGTCGATATCCCTCTTGGATAGGCTGAAGCCTTGAAATGACAACCAATAAACACTTGCATGACACATCGAGTCATCTCTTGAACCATCCTGTCATGTCGTGTCGTGACTACTGCTGGGCAACCTTCAAATAGGCTTTCAATGCTGACATCGGGTACTTTAACAGCAAACGCATGTGGGTTAAGAGCTGCCAGGTTGAGTGCTGACCGCATACCTCAAGGCAAGAAGCTCTGGCCACCAGGGATTCGGTAAGTTGGGTAAGTCGATCGGGGAAGTTAATACCTCGAACTCATCAAACGGCTTATGGGGTCGCTAAGCATGAAGCTCCATTGGGATCCACGTCAATCATATCTCGATTGGAATATCAGTTGCCCATCCAAACAGTCGACAAGGGTCGGCCGCGGCGATGAGAAACTTGGGCAACGAATGGGGCTCTTTTGGCAGACGTTGCAATGCAACGATGGCCTCCACTGGGCCAGACTAATTGCTGACGAGAACTGAGCTCTAAAATAGCTCCCACAAACTGGACGACTTGGGATGTTCCGCGTCCATATGGAGTTACCGCTTTGAGATAGAAGTCGATGGGCATTGGACACAGCCTCATCTGAGACCTCTCTGGATACTAAGGCGGCGAATTGTCGAGTCTTGTCTGCATGCAGCTGCTACAAGGGAGACTTCAGTACCAAAGAACCATATGCATTCTTCATTCGTGTAGCGTCATACGAACCCGATCCCAAGGACAAGATCTGGGGTTACGATGAAGTAGCACCAAAGTCACAAGTCATAAGACATGAGATACCTTGACCAATGGCTCGAAGTAAAGGACCGTGCAAGGCTTGCAGCAATACCAATCCCAACACTAACACTTACACCCACCACCCGAGTGACGGGCCTTTCCAGACCTTGCGGCCCTGCAGAAGCGCGAAATTACCAGAATGCGCCATGTGGAAGCCAGAACGAATCACAGCGTGTTCTTCGAAACGCGGCGTGAAGTAGCGGCTGGCCCGGCGGAAAGTAGAACTCTCTAACTCTTTTTTTTAACTTCAAGATGTATGCTTGTAAAGAAGCATTGCATTGATTGATATGATTAGACTAGACAACTCTTCTCAGGCACAATGGAAAGGCTGTTCACTCGGTTGACAGACGGCCAGCCGTGATAAGCAGACTGTCTTCTTGCCCTCCATTGATGAGCTGTTCTTGTCCCAGCTCGGCTCAACTGCCAATATATCTGCAGCTTCCTGCAACTCCTGCACCGTTTTGCTCACGCTGCGTGTCGCTCCGCCTCTCCCGGGTTGCAGATAGCAGCAGCCTTATCGACAGCCCACTCCACCATAGTACCACACTCTCAACAGGCACCCTTGTCCGAGTTGTGGCCCAGATCGCACTATCGGATTGTTGCATCAGGCTCTGTTCAAGGGTCTGAGTTTGCTCTGGTGGTGGTCTGGTGCGGCTGCGCTGACAGATGCATCTTGAAATCCTTCCCCCGTCGCTGCCCACACCATCCTGGTCGCCGTCCCCTTGAATCTGTGCCTCGTGGGGTCTTCAACAATTGCGGCCGGTTCCTCAAGCGGAACGCGGGACTTGGTATAAAGGCTTCGGCTCGTCTCAAGACACCCGCCATCCGCAGCACCGACGCGACGAAAGCTTCCTTTGCGCGGACAGCGACATTTGGGGGGGCCTCAATACTGTGTTCCTACATATTACGTGCGCGATATACACGAAGACAATTCTCTTACTGTCGACTTGCTAGACACATCAATTTCGACAGGAGTCACTCTCTCGGGTCTCCAGCGCCTTAGTCACTCTTTGTTTTGCTCTTCGAGCAGGCTTCAGACACACACACAATGTCTCGCCAACACTTCGGTATAACCGGCGCACTCTCCGGGCTCACCACGATGCTAGTCACCCTGCTGCTTACCGCGCTCTTTCCCACGCTCTCCCTGGCGCAGCGGCCCGAACCAACCATCTACAATGCCTCCTCCACCAAGTATGTCTACGAGGGCTGCTATAACGAGACGACGGGCATCTCGGGCACGAACGGCGACCGTGCCCTCAGCGGCGGCATTCATATGATCGGCATAGGCAACATGACGGTGCCGATGTGCCTGGATTACTGCGGGAGCGGGTCCGTGACCTACACGTACGCCGGCATCGAATACTCCCGCGAGTGCTGGTGCGCACAGCACATCAGCGGGCTGTCTGTCAAGTTTGCGGATAATGAGTGCGATCTGGGCTGCGACGGCAACCAGACGCAGACGTGCGGAGGCACGCTGAAGCTGACGGTAAGTTTTTGGTTCTGCCGTTGTCGTTGGCAAGTTATAGTGGCTAGACACATGTGCTGACGTTTTGTTCGACAGGTATATGCGCTTGGGGGAGCTGCATCCATGAAGGCCATGCCAGGAATTCTGTTGTTATTCCTGGCCGCAGCAACGGCCTTCAACCTTTTCTAACGCCGTCCGGTCTCACCCGGACCGTTCTATTATGTTACGGAACGCTTGTCACATAGATGTCTATACTACCTATATAATCCAGAGCGAAGGATCTAGATACCCAAGGGTCGGGTTCTTGTTAGAACAACTTGACATTTATTGGGAGGGCGTTTTCAACGGTTGGAATAATTGTTTCTCGTTGAACGGATTCTAGAAAGCCAAAGGAGACATGATTATTATTCGTTATTCATTCGCGTCGTGAACATGATATCTACCCAGACTCTAAGATGGGACCCAAGCCATTGGAGGTTATATGCAAGATGGCATAATCACAAGCTGATCCCGCCCAATCCTCTGGCCTGTACGGCCTCCTGGACGGCGCCTTTGATATCTTCTACCGCGCTCTGCCAGCTCCGCTTGCCCCGGCCCTCGATCTCATCGTCTTTAATGATCCAGTCGAGCCAGGTAACAAGCTTCCGCACCTTCTCCATGTCCCTTTCGTCTACGATCACCCTCGCCAGGTATTTCTCAAAGACCTCTACGTCATCCTTGTGCGGGCCTTCGTCTTTCGTCTCCCGATACCATGCATTGAGCATGTCCTTGACCTCCTGGACCGAGGACAGGGACGAGTTGGTGAACGCGATCTTGGCTGGCTTCAAGGGAAAGTGGATCTTCATCTGGCCGGTTAACGGGCCACCATCGCCATCGCCACGGCGTCGCCGCTGCGGCGCTTGAAAATTGAGCCCTCCTCGCTGATTCATCCGTTGTCGACGGTGGTCTGCAATCACCTCTCGCCGGACCTCCTCTGGTAGTTCAGCAAGAAAATCCGGGTCCAGCTCTTCTATATCTTCTGCCACATCTCGTACCGCACTATCCACCACTCGACCTTTCGCGGTAACAAAGTTTGTTTGCAATAAATTAGAGTCAGCGTCATGCTGCCTTTCCTTTCCTCTGCTCCACATGCCCCTAAGACCCTTCTTGGTTGGCGTGAGCTTCTTCCCCGGACGGTTGATCACGCGATCCTTGCGAGGCGATTGGGGAAGAAGGCTTTGCCCCCGACGATGTCCATATTGAGCAAAGACCTCTGCTTTCATATCTTCTGGCAGTGCATTGAACACTTCAGGGTCAATATCAGGGGGGATCTCATCGGGCAAAGCTGGGCTTTGCGTCCGAGACTTGCTTTGCACACTTGGCGATATTTCTCGCGAGGCGGGAGACGCTTTGCGTTGCTGTGCCATCAGACGGCTGCGAATATCATTGGGTAATTCAGCAAGCACACTAGGATCAGGATTTGATGGTATGATGAATTGCGTCCCAGCCAAGTTCAAGGGTGTGTTCGCCTTGGCATCTGCTTCGTTGGCTCGTGCTAACGCGAGTGCAGGGTGTATGGATGATCTAGGCTTTCGAGGGGTAAGGGGGTCCTCTGCGATGGGATCGGCAGACATGTCGCGACCTGGTCCGGTTTTTGACCTCTCAAATCTAGCGAACTCCTCGATCGGATCTGTGGTTGGCTTCTTCGAGAGAGCACCCGTTGCAAATGTTCCAAAGTTCAGCCGCTTCTGACTCCCGTCCGGAGCAGAGGTCGAGGATTTGATCGGCTCAAGTTTCTGCATCTGGATGCCGATACCTCGAAGATCTCCTGGACTGAAACTGAAAGACCGAAGAATGGAGACCGCCTCCTTTCCGATAACCACGGCATCGTGAGTGGCAACGCCAAAGACCTTGCTTTTGTTGAAGGTGTCGCACTTTCCATGCCCAAGATGCTTGGGTGGATCCAAGGGGGCATCCAGTGACCGTCTCATTATCTTCATAGTTAGATGTGTGCCTTTGACCCCTTCATTCAGCAAACGCCGCTCCAGCTCCTTGCAAAGATTCATCACAAACTCCTCTGCCTCTTGCTGATTAATGAATCGAATGCCCCAATTGATCTCTGCCGACACAGACTTTCGAATGGGTTGGTCACCAACCTCAGTTCGATCTATGCCTCGAGAGTATTCCCACAGCTTCTCGCCTGTCTTTGGCCCCAGCACAGATGTGAGCCGTTCTTTGGAAACATCCCGAATGTCTTTGACCAGTTTAACTCCGATTTCTTCCAGTTTTCCGCTTATACTATAGGCGACACCTGGCAGATCGTCGACTTTTAATTCTCCTAGAATATCCAAGACATCTTCGGGCTTGATCTGATATTGACCAGCGGGCTTAGCCTTTCGTAGTGCGACTTTTGCCTGCAGAATATTGGCTCCAATTCCAACCGATACATGACAACCGGTTCTCAGCTTAATTTGCTGTCGCAGGCTCGACGCGATACCATCGGCTTTCTCCTGTTCTCTCCAGATGCTACCCTCATCGACGCCGTGCCCTTCTGAGTTGGCTGCTGCAAGGACCAGAGACGTTATGTCGACGAGAGCTTCGTCCACGCTTACGCTCTGCACGACTCCACCAGCCTCCAGTATCGACTCGTAGAAGAGCCTGCTGGCTTCTTCGTACGCTGGGAAATCATACGGTAGGATCTTCAAATCAGGACATAATTCCAGAGCCTTCTTCATCCACATGCCATTCTTGATCCCGAATTTTCTGGCTGGATAGTTGCACGACGCGATTTCTGAACCAGTACCACTACCATGTGCGACAACAGCAGGTTTGTCCACATAGTCCGGTGCACTCTTCAGAGACACGGCACAGAAGAAGCTGTCAAAATCGACATGCATGATGTATCGGCGGGCACCTGGCTTGCGCTTGACGACCTTCGGTGCTGCGCCCTTCTCTGCCGCAAGCTTCTGCATCTTGGACTTGAGCTCTGACTTCCAGGTTGACAAATGGTGAAGCCGGCTTTCAGAATAGAACTGTTTCAGGAAATCCGGGTTAGCACTGGAAGATTTGCGTACATGTGGATCAGAGAGAAGTAATGCGTTATGTTCTTCAGAAGTCATCGGCTTTTTTGATGGACTCTCGTCCATATGAGTACTGTTTACATCCAACGGCTCAGATTGCTCAAAGACTGGCTCGTCATCACCCTCAGCTGTTAACTCTGCAAGGTCGATGTTATCGAGTTCTGCAAGTCCATAATCATCGCTTGCTTGCGAAGTGCGAAGCGGTGGTGGCCCCATCTTGTTGGATATCTCTCGTTTGTCATCAGTCATCTCAAGGATCTCTTGAGTACCGTCATCATCCTCGATGCTTTCGATGGCTTTCAGTCTTGATGGGGTAGCATTGTGGAAAGTTGATGGGCTACTGTGACTTGTTCTGGTTGCCGGACTTTGCGAGCTTTTGAACTGAGCTGTATAAAAGCTGTTTTGCGTCTGCTCTCTGTATCCCTGACGCTGGGAACCTGTCTGTGTGCCCATCTTTCCATCATCGAATTTGATGATCTTCTGCCGCGGTCCTTCATCGATCACCCTGTAATCTGACCACGGGAGCATCCGACCTGCTTGTATCGACTCCATCACCCACGCTGGCTTAACGATTCTATATTTGTTGAAATCGACGGTCTTTTTCGGGGGCAAGGACGACGCAATAATATGAGTCGCCATGGTCTTAGAGTCTAGATATTGCAGAAAGCCTGCGCCATGTTGGACGAGCTCTTTGTGGAGAATATGAAGCGGCGGTTGGGTGTATCCAGACACATGTGCCACCACGCCTTTGAAGATAGGTGGCTTGTCATCGGATGCAGCGCGCAACTCCGCGTCGAGGTTCTGCAGCTTGATCTTCTTGCGTCTGAAGTAGTCGTTAAACCCACCGAAGGCGCTAGGCTCGTACTCCTCTCCGGCTTCATCGGAGAAAGTATGTCCTTCAATGCGCTTGCGCACCGCGCCCGAGTTTTTCTCCAAACGGCTCCCCATCTACAAACGCTGCGAGGTTTCAGATGCGGAGAGTTGCCTCAAAAGTTGGCTGATGGCATTGCTGCGACTGGTTTTCGACGGATAAAATATCGACAGGCTCTGATTCTCTAGAGTCCGCTTTTACCGCGATGCTTTTGAGTCAATACCGGCCGACCGTAAGCAAGCCTTCAGGCTTGTCGCAATTCTAACTTTTTGCCGTCAGGCGCGAGGAGCGGGTGACGTAAGGTGCGGGATGCGACGCGAAAGGCGCGCCTTCACGTGATAGAGTTTTAATCACCCTTAAAGTACCTAGCTGCACCAGGCACCAGATAAGCTTTAGCCTCAGGTGCAAGGCTGAACCACGTTTAATTCTTGGATCTCCAAATACATCCTTGCGCTTGGTAGCGCCACGGGCAGGAGATGAATAACGACCAGTTCCGCAGACTGATCCTGGCGAACTCGGCCAAGTCGCCAGATGGACAGAAGAATGCCACATCGGCCACCCCCAGCGGTTTTGAGGCCAGTGCAGCGGCCTTGGGATCTCGACAGAAGTCCAGCATTCCCATGACACCGTGAGTTGCACCTTTACTTCTCGAGCTACTAGCATATTGCTAACTCTTACGAGGCGATCAGTCGCAGGCACAAGACACAATGAATTCGCACGCCAACTTGCCGAGAGAAACCAAGGCGACCGGCCGCAGAAGAAATTCCGCTCTGCAGCCCCGAAAGGTAGCAAATTTGGCGAGGGTTACGTCGACCGGGCGAAGCAACGCGACTCGGAGGAAGAAGACGAACGAGCCGCGCGAATCAAGGCCCTTGAAGAGTCGTTGAAGAAGGAGGAAATAGACCAAGAAACATTCGACAAAATGCGAAACCAGATCGCCGGCGGTGATCTCTCAAGCACACACCTTGTCAAGGGCCTGGACTTCAAGCTGCTAGAGAGGATACGAAAAGGCGAAGATGTCTACAGCGAGCCTAAGCCTGAAGATAAGCAACCGGAACCCGATCCCCTAACTGAAGACGAGGCAGAGCCTACGGAAGACGGGGATGATGCATTTGAAGAACTTGAGGACAAGGAAGTCACTGCCATCACTAAGGAAAAGGCTAAGAAGAAAGGTCAATTAGCAACGACATCCCTAGTTCCAGGCAAGAAGAGGACACGGGACCAGATTCTGGCCGAGTTGAAAGCAGCTCGAGAGGCAGCCAAGGCTAAGGAAGAGTCCGCTCTCGGTGGTCGTTTCAAGAAGATTGGAGCTAAAAAGGAGCCCGGGACGAGGATAGAGCGCGACAGCAAAGGTCGAGATGTCCTTATTATAATCGATGAGGATGGTAATGAGAAGCGCAAGGTCCGCAAAGTTGCCACGGAAACGACCCAAGAGCGTGAGGCCTTCAAACCAGATCCTACTGCAAAGCCTCTCGGGATGGAGGTACCAGATTTCTACAAGCAGAAGCAACAGCAAGAAGAGGAGGACGAGAAGGAGGTTCATGTATTCTCTGATGTGGAGTCAGATTACGATCCACTGGCTGGACTCGCCTCCGGATCAGACGACAGCGATGAATCGGAGGAGGAAGATGCAAAGCTCAGGACAAAAGCTACGAAGGAGCAGTCCCCAGAGAGCGAGGGCGAGATTGCAGAAGATCTACCATCAAAGGAGATGGCGCCACCGCCGAAGCCACAACTCCCGGCACAATCCCGGAACTACTTCAAAGATTCAAAGACTGCCTTGGTTTCTGAGGAGTCAGGCAGAGCTTCTGCTCTGAACGACCCGAGCGTCCTTGCAGCATTAAAGAAGGCAAAGACACTCAATGCCGCTGCTAAATCTGAGGAGGAAGAGCAAGAAGCGGCGAGGAAAGAGCGTCTCAAGAAGATGCTACAGAGCAGTGAACGCGATGATGAGGATCTAGACATGGGCTTTGGTACAAATAGGCTAGCTGACGAAGAAGACCTAGAAGAGACGAAGGTCAAGCTTTCGGCTTGGGGCGACGACGACGACGACGGCCACGGAGGTGCGGGCAAGTCGAAACGGAAAAGAGGTCCCAAAAAGCGTAAAGGCGATGTGAATAGCGCAGCCGACGTACTAAAAGTCATGGAGAAGCGGAAAGCTGCAGGGTCCTGAGATAAACGCGCCAAGCCAGTGCTTCTGACAACAGAAGTCAAATATGGCTGAAGAGCCCATCATTCAATCGCCCCCAATTTCGTGAACCCCCAATAGCCATCGAACCAGTGATCTGTCATTCGTATAATCTCACCCACTAAGACTGAGTCCGAAGTGTATGTGATGATGATATTGGCGGGTTGCTGTTTCCTCGCACTTAATCGGACAGTCAGCTAGCTGAATAGTAACGTAAAGTGGGCTGGAAAAGATAAACGGCGCCTTCCGACCTTTCCAAAGATCCGGTTACGGATACCAAGACAACTTCCGGTAGTGCAAAACAAGGGAGCTTCTTGACAAATTGTTCGTTTGGTGTTGCATAGCTAACAGAGACATCATATTTGGGCTTCTCTACGTCGAATTAGCATTGCGTGCTTGCAGAGATGACGGATAACAGAATCCCACTCTGGCTGGATTGCGACCCTGGTCACGATGTAAGTTAGACAAGCTTTTCACGGAATGCAACTCCGTAACCGGAAGGCCGATTGTCTCATCGACATCAGACATGACAGGCCTCAAGTGTGTCGAGGGTCGACGTGGCCGGCTGGGTCGTTGAGGCGGTTCTTCACCGCCAGCAAGCAAATTCATCTAAGGCCTCCTCGCTAATCGAACGGATACAGGATGCATTCGCGATCCTCCTAGCTGCTTATCACCCAGGCATCAGGCTCCTGGGAATTTCAACAGTCTTCGGAAATGCATCGTTAGAGTACGTCATGCTTCATATGCTGTGCAGCCGGCCTCTAGCCGCTTCTTTGTTCATTCAAGTCACTGATAAGATGTCATTAGGAAAACAACATGGAATGCTACTTCACTTCTCACGGCCATCGGCAAGCAAGATGAGATTCCGGTGTACGTCGGCTCGCCTAAGCCAATAGTTCGTCCCGGAATGCATGCGCCGACCGACATCCACGGCGAGTCCGGCCTCGACGGTACTGACCTCCTGCCTCGGCCCCTGACGCCGGCAATCCGGGATGTCTCCGCCGTCGACTCCATAGCTAAGGCTCTCAAGGCGGAGCCGGCTGGCACAGCATGGCTTGTTGCTACGGGATCAATGACTAACGTGGCCATGCTGTTCGCAGCGCACCCGGATCTTGTCGGCCATATCAAGGGTCTATCTATCATGGGAGGCGCAATTGGCGGCGGATTCACGACTGCCGTCTACGGTGTCGTTGACAATGTGGCCCGCATTGGCAACTGGACACAATTCGCCGAGTTCAACATCTTCGTGGACCCCGAGGCAGCAGCATCCATCTTCGATGACAAGGCACTGGCTGCAAAGACGACGCTCATTCCGCTGGACCTTACGCACTTGGTGCTAGCGCGCAAGGACATCCAGGAACTGATGTTGTATGGAGAGAACGGCGTCAAGACAGAAGATGGGAAGGGCAAGACGACTTTACGAACAATGCTGGTTGAGCTTCTCACCTTCTTTGCAACGACATACAAGTTAGTGATGCCCTTATCTACTGTATCTGGATAGTCTTTTAATCTGATTTACAGGGATGTCTTTGGCATCATCGAGGGGCCGCCTCTACATGATCCTTTGGCAGTCGCAGCTGTGCTAACCGGCACGGAGTGGGAGATCCCCTTCTACGACTACGACGTACAGGGCGCCGAGCTGGCACCAGTACAGAAGCGAGAACGCTTCGCAGTCAAAGTTGTGACAGAAGGGACGACAGAGGAAGCTTTCGCCGGAGCGGAGACAGGAAGAACCATTGCCACACCTCTGCCCGAGGGCGAGGAGGGTGTACGGATACCTAGAGGCCTAGATATTCCGATGTTCTGGAAAGTCCTGGAGGAGTGTGTGCAACGGGCGGATGAGGTCAACGCAAGAAAGGAGCCAAGTGGATAGAATCAGCTACAGAACTTTGAGCACAGCCTGTTCCAACATGGAGGGTAGACATCGTCATGGAAGTCTTTAGACCATGGTTTCAGAAGGAAATCTCACTCAAAAGACAGACTTAGTGAGCGATTTTGCGATTCTTCATCTCTTACTGTGATAGAATTGAGGCCCCTGAGTGGCAGATCGAATAGGGGTAATGTGCATTCAAATCTACGACAAACGCTAGTAAAGAGAGCAACACCTTTCTGAATTGGTCTTCAGACATGAGAAAGCGAGCAAGCCATGTGCTAGGTTTACAATCATGTGCCGACAAAGTGAACGCACATATCAATACGCCATGACCTCTCTTGAGGGTAATGAGTGAAGCATGCAGTCCAATGACTCTGTCGAAAAGGTCCAAGCAACCTGCAATACTAACACCGGCATCCAAAGGTGTTCGAGGCTCCCTGAATCTCACAGTAAGCAGACGAGTAATCCAGCAGGAGCGAGCGATGTAGACGCATATCTGGACAGCGATATAGGTAGACCTTGCCTGACGAGCTGTATCGGCTCCGCAGACGAAGCACGAAAAAGCTGCAAGATATTCCGTGTCAGGCGTATGCTCCGGCAAGAGACCGGCTCGGCTACCGCGTGCATCGGCGAAAACAAAACCTGCACAGATATCTGCCCGCTTCGGTCTGGTTTGTATGTCAGGTGTCGAGGAGAACAGACCTCCCATCGAGCTGCAAGCACTTTTCGTCGACTAACGTTAAGGCCGTGCTCTATACCCCCCCTCCATGCCTTCTCGCCCCTCCAGCTCCAGATCTCTCCCCAGGACAGGAAGAGGTCTCACATGCGATCAGCAGGGAGGACCCGGCACTTCTGATCCGCTGATAGACCGAGCAGCGGGATCAGCCAGGAGGCCCAAGATTCTATTGTTGCAACGGTGTTTCTTTTCGGAAGCTCTGGAAGACACACACCCCCCAGTCACAAAGATTGACAGGCAGTCAGGCAAGCTTCCCTATCGCTGGCTGCGGGGGCAGCAAGCAGGTCTTTGCGGGGTCGGAAGGACGCCGGGCGGTCCACTTGGACATTCCATGCGACCACCCACCACACTGGTAGCTACCGTATACTCACTAAGCAGGTGGTAGCCCTGCAGCTAGTCGTCCTTCCTGGAGGGTCGCCTTGCATCGCCAAAAAGGACCGGAGACGAGAAAGTGTGAAACAAGTGTGGATAGCACCGAGCAGCATAAGAGCGACGTGATAAGGAAACTAGAAGCCTAGGGAAGATGATCGCATGAGCGGATCAGTGAGGGGTTCGCTGGCGCCATGAGGAAAGGTACGGCAATCCAGCAGCCCAGTCTCTTGTAGTCGAAGATGGCCTGTCCAGATAACGCCTGGGATGACTTAGGACTGTCCTCTGATCCCAATTATACACTCAACGCGTGTGATATGCACAGTCAGTATGGATCAGGGGACACCGAAAACCATGCAAGTGATCCTCCAGACGGGAAGGCAGGCCTCGCTTCAGATAGCCAGACTCAGGACACCGAAAGCTGCGAATGGCACCGACACTTGTAGGGCGGGAGTGTCCTGGGCCCCCTGACGTCGACAGAACCTCCATCACGAATATTTCTTTTTGGTCGGCCCATTCGCTTGCCTTGACCATCGTAATAGGTGGAGCTCTGTTACGCGGCATGGGCTAAGTATGCGTCAAAGAAGAGACTTGATGCATCGTAAAGCCCGCAGCAAGGACTATCGATAGTAAAGCGGACGGACCCACCAGCATCAACTATGGTGGCTGAGCACCCTCCCCTCATCTAGTCAAGAATTAAACCCGTGCCTGCAGGAATCTAGGTATGCATGTATGTAATGTACTGTACGTGTGTGCGGCACATGCGTGCGAGGTGCCTTGGAAGCACGCAACGCGTAAGAGCAAGAAGAACGGAAAGGGATATTCATGGTTCACGGCATGATTCGCGGGATCCCGGCCGAGCATCCATGGTAGGCCTCCTGTTGGTTGACCAAGATGCAAACGGGCGTATTGCAAGAGCAAAAAAGCAAAAGGACACTGGGGACTACGTTTTGAATCCGCGGAGGGAGGTTGGGAAGAAGAAACAAGACAGGATAGGCAAGCATCCAAGCGAAAGCTACGGCCAGTCGGTCACCAGTCTAAAAAGTCGGCTTCACATGAGATATCGGCGCGAACGGCAAGTCAGGCCTTTGAGCCCTTAGACGCAAGTCCAAAGCGACGGTGCTTTAGCCTCAACCCAGTGGCACATCGCTAGGGTAAACGTCCCAGAACGCCGTCAGGCGAATGGCTTCCCAAGTCAGATGGAGGGTACGTTGGATAGAAAATAAGTCTGCCCCAGATAGAGAATTTCCCAGATGCAGGCTACTCAGTCGGGACAGACATGACTGCAGCAGGATGCAGATGTGGAGGATAGGTCCTGCACCATTCTGCAGGTGGTGTGCTTTTGGCACAGGAGAGCACCTGCAGCTGCAAATGCAACCCCTTTCCAAGTCTGGCGTGCTGAAGGGGATCCAATGCAGCAAAAGATGCAGCCATCACTAACTCAGAATGATAGCGTGTGTTTCATGTCCAGAGGTGCAGGCGAGATGCATTTCGTGTCGGAATTGCAAGAATCATTATCTGGAATGTGACAGAAGGTGGCAGCATCTCCCCCACGAACACGGCCCTTATCGATTGCTTCTCAAGCTAGTCGTGGGCAAACTCTTGGCAGAGATGTCAGTGGGATACTGCTAGATCCCATGTTGCTTAGTGAGAGCATGTTGTTTCCAAGTTGGTGTTGGCTTCGGTGTTGGCCGTTTGAAGAGGCAAGTGTTGCTGTTGCTGCTATCACACCAGACAAATGGAATGCATTTGCTGCAGTGCGGCTAATGTGATAGTACACCTCCGCCAGGGGTAATAAACGTTATTTTAGCGAGTTGAAAATACCAGAAAACCAGGGTTAAGAATACCTGATTGAGGCTTCGAA